AGCAATAAACAAATATTTTTGTTCAGGTAAACTTGATTTATAAGTTTACCCGAACAAGAATAGTATTTCATCCTCTGGCCTTGCTATCGCTATTATTACCACCACCATTACTGTTATTACTCTTACAACAACTTCCATTTAGTTGCCAGTAAAAGTAATGCTTGACTAATACCATCCATTTTATTACCTCTCAATCTAATAATTCCTGTTTATCAGCACCGATTTCAGAACGTAAATGATTAAGAACTCAGAAGTGAATTCGAACCTTCTCTCTGATTTCCAGAGCTCTCGTACATAACGGTTCAGCTTCTTTGTATTTACCACGTTTACCGTACAGAACAGCTAGGTTATTCAACGTGGCCGCAACTGCTGGGTGACTTTCGCCCAAGCACTTCTCACGTATATGCAACGCTTCGTTCAGAAGATTTGCGGCCTCTTTGAATTTATTCTGATCTCTGAAATTAACACCAATCACTTCTGGATGTTGATGGCCATTGTCCATTCACTCTACACATATGAACCTGTGAATAATTCTCCTTGAACTAAGAGAAGAGCAATGAATGTCTTTTCTGGTACGGACAACAACAATTGTTAGTATTGTCGTAGCGTTACAAAATGAATATGAGAAAAAATAACCTATAAACAAGTGCAAGAATGTTGAGCATTGTAGCCACATCAGGATGATCGTGTCCACTCGTCTTCTCCAGATCTTCAAGCGCTTGTTTGCACAGTGGCACCGCAACTTCATAACGTCCTTGTGACGCGTATTGAATCACCTACGACACCATCATCAATCACAACAATTATCATTATAAGTTGATTAGATACAAGCCAAATCATAGCCTATCTCAAGCTCGGTTACATCAATGATATTGGTACATGATAAGATTTCAGCTCGCTAGGGAAAGNATAATAGTTATAATGAGCGATCATCATGAAGCCATAAAAATCTCAGGGAACATCTACGTCACCTATTCTCATTGCACAGAAAAAATTTTTTCAATTCATTGGAAGATATCTTTCAAGATGCTACAAAATCAAATTTTTATAATCCACAGGCTGCTGTCACCAAAACAAGAACAATTAAAAAACGATAAATGAATGCAAGAAAAAATCACAAGATTATGTAGAGTTCTCAGTCTTGCTGGTATTTCATAGCCAGCTGATGCGCTAGCAGCCATCGAATGTGCTGGTGTCGGATGAGCGAACTGACCTGAACCAATTCCAAACTGAGTATCTGTTATGCTGCTCAATTTGCTTCAAATTCAAGCAACATGAAGTTTGAATTTATTCGTAATCATTTCAAACGAAAAACATGAGCACACAGTTACTCCATCCAATAAATTTCCAATAAACCAACCACTGATCTCTTCATCCTCCTCAGGTCCAAATCCAAGTTCCTGTAGCGTGTGATCAGCTGATCGCGACGCCGACTGCTCCATTGTCCGTTCATCTGCCTACAACAAAGCACTTGTGAATAACTGGAAGACTACCTTGCAGACGAAATCAAGCAACGATAAACTCAATGAAAATGGGTCCATTGATTCAGTCTCAATTGAAGATGAGATAATCTCTCATCATTGCTTGAGTGCCGCAGTGTTATTGTCCTCGAACAATTAATTCGTATTTTGCTAA